CAGTACATGTTCCACCAAGATGAAGGTCCCACAATGTGAAGTCATGGTTTCCCGAGTTATTTGCCCCGGCACAAACATCACTTGCCAGCTGCAAACAATGTATGTAGATCTGGAAACCCATGCAGTTTTGTTGCGTCTCTGCACATCGTGCTGCAAGCCTTGTTCAGAGGAGCGGCTCAGGCACGAACCTTTCAGGTCACTGCTGACAGGTCGCACTGCGGTTCCTAGATGGCAATGTTCCTTTGCCACAGTGCGCTTGTTGCGGTTTTCTGGCTGCTTGCCACCGCCAATCAACCATTGAAGCAGTCCCAGCTCGCTGTGGAGGTCGGGGTGCGATTTTGGCTTTTTGGGGCTTGGTGGATTAGCATGGCATGCAGTTGGGTCGCAGTAAGCTTTCTAGGATTCTAGGGTTCCTTGTACAGGAGAGCCATCAGGGCCTGATTGGTGCAGATATCCTGGCAGAGGCCCCGGCGCGCAGCTCCCTGGAGCACGGCAGGTTGTTCAACCGAAGGCGTCGGCATCATGGGCGCCGGCGCAAGGGTTTCTTCCGCAAGCTGGGTGAGTCGCTGGCGAAGCCTTTTATAAAAGCTGGCAAGAAGGTGAAAGGGGCTGTTGGAAAGGTTGGGGACGCGTTCAAGAAGATTTTTGGCAAGAAGCGTTGGCAATGGCGGCGGGTGGAGCAGCTCATCCCGAGTGGAAAGGTGGAGACGCAACAGAACGCCTTGGGTTGCATGAGTTTCGACGAGTTGACCATCACAGGGGAAATGAAGGTGAGCAAAATGACACGAACACGAAAGCGAACAACCCAAGAGAAAGACTGTATCATCACTGGGATAAATGCAGGAATTGCGCTGGATTCTGTGAATTCAAAAGTGGATTTTCTTTGGCCTAGGGATAGCCATGATCAGAGGGTGCATCTGAAAGGGACTATTGACATCTCTGGCTGCATCATCCTCGAGAACATCGCCATTACCAAGTCGAAGCTCACAATCAAAAGTGATACGTCAGTGGAGTCTGGCTGTTTGGTCGGAGGGAATTCTGCTTTTCTTGCATTGACTTCGCGACTGACGTTTCATGCTGTGAGGTTGCAGGGAAATATTGTCATCTCCGGGTGTGCCACCCTCCAGGATCTGATCTTTGAAGGAACAAGTCATATTACATATACGCAATCAGTTTGTGTGATTCATGGCAATCATGCTGCTGTGGCCTTCGCTACTGACACCTCGCAGGTGATGTTATCCCCTGGCGTGAAGCTGACTGGGAGAGTCAACATATATGGCTGCATTGAGCTCCAGGACTTGCAAATCAGAACTGGGACTCTTACGCTGAAGAAGCACGCATCTCCGGAGTTCCGGTGTGTTGTTAGTGGGACCGCTTCAATTGCTTTGACTTCAAACTTGCAAATTCTTGCCGTGACATTCGGAGCAGAGGTCGTCATCGTGGGTTGTGTTGGGTTCCAGGAATTGACTATCACTGATGGAAGCATGAATCTGGAAACAGCGACGACAGGTTGTGCGATTTATGGCAAGAATGCCTCTGTGGCCTTTGCTACTGAGAAATCGCAAGTGGTGTTCTTGCCTGGCATGAAGCTGACTGGGAGAGTCAACATATATGGCTGCATTGAGCTCCAGGACTTGCAAATCAGAACTGGGACTCTTACGCTGAAGAAGCACGCATCTCCGGAGTTCCGGTGTGTTGTTAGTGGGACCGCTTCAATTGCTTTGACTTCAAACTTGCAAATTCTTGCCGTGACATTCGGAGCAGAGGTCGTCATCGTGGGTTGTGTTGGGTTCCAGGAATTGACTATCACTGATGGAAGTATCCATATTGAACCAGCGCAGTCAGATTGTGTGATTCATGGCAATGGTGCTACTATGGCCTTCGCTACTGACACTTCACAGCTAATGTTATTCCCTGCCGTGAAGTTGACAGGGAGAGTCAACATATATGGCTGCATTGAGCTCCAGGACTTGCAAATCAGAACTGGGACTCTGACAGTGAAACAGGATGCATCTCCGGAATCCCCGTGTGTGGTTAATGGGGTTGATGCTTCGATTGCTTTTGCTTCGGATTTTCAGTTTCCTGCGGTGAAGTTGGAGGGGGCAGTTGAGATCTCCGATTGCGTAGTCTTCCGGGATCTGACCATCACCAGTGGAAGCATTACAGTCAAAAAAGACCTATCAGAGACAGGGGATTGTGTAATCGAGGCCGACGATGCTTCGGTTGAACTCACATCTCGATTGACGTTTCCCAGCACCAGTATCAGGTTGGAAGGCACTCTCGAGATCACGGGCTGCATCCGCCTGCAGGATATTCTTATCACTCCCGGGGGCATCACATTCAGCAACGATGCATCAGGCAACACCGGTTGTGTGGTTCATGCTCACGACAACGTTTCACTCGAGTTGACGTCTGACAATTCGCGAGTGAGTTTCTTTTCTGCGACGCTGGATGGGACGATTGACATCCCTGAATGCGTCATCCTCCAGGACCTGACCATCGCTGCTGGAAGTGTGGAACTGAAACGGGATGCATCAGCGAAGTTTCTATGTGTGGTTAGTGGGAAGGATGCCTCTGTTGCTGTAAATTCGCAGCTAGTACTTCCTTCTGTGAAGCTTGAGGGGACAGTTGACATCGTCGGCTGCGTCATCCTCCAGGAACTGGCAATCGCTGGAAGCCTCACCCTGAAGAAAGATCCAACATCAACATTCCGCTGTCTTGTCACTGGGACCAACGCCTCAATTGCTTTGACTTCTCAAGTGAAATTCCGATCTGTGCAATTTGATGGAATTATTGTCATCTCCGGCTGCGACATTCTTCAGGATCTGAGCATCAGACAGGGAGAGGTCACCCTGATGTCAAGCAACATTGGCTGTGAGGTTTTAGGCCAGGGTGCCGTCATTGAGTTCACTCGCTCTTTCCGCGTACAGAATTTGCGCCTAAGTGGAGGCATCGACTTCACCAGCTGCGGCAGCTTCTACAACCTGAAGATCACGCGCGTCACTTTTACGAAAGGAGGAGCCGGCAACTATGGTTGTGTAGTTGAAGGCGAGGACGCCTCTGTAGTTGCTTTGCCAGACACATCACGCGTTGACTTTGAGAAGGTGGAGCTGCGAGGCAGCTTAGATTTTTCGACCTGCGTCAGTGCAAAAGACATAAAGATTCATGAGGCACGCGTTGTTTTTCAAGGCTGCGACCGGCAGAGCTGCATGAAAATCACCGGGGATTTCAGCCAGGAAGGTGGCTCCACGAGTTTTCGCCAATGCCGGCACGGAGGCATGAATGCCTCTGGCAGTGTGATGCTTCAGAACTCTGCAGCGATGATGTTCGACCGTTGCGGAAGCACGAGATCCCAAGGCGGAGCACTGCACACTACCGGTGCCAGGTTGAGACTGGGTTGCTGTTAAGG